TGGTTTCTATTTTCTTGGAGCCATTATTTGAAGCTAATAATGTTATGGAAGGCAAAATTCCCAATGGAACATCCATTCAGACAAAGCAATCTTGAGCCTGAGTAAATTTATCAATGGTTGGCTCTAATCTAATTTGGAGAGTCAACAAGGCACGAATGTTCACGACTTCAGTTGATTGTTACAGAAACGTGTTCTACATCATAAAAAACTTACTTCCTTCATATTTTCATGCCCTTATCTAGTATGAAGAGTTGGCATGTTTAAGGAAATCTCAAGTTTTCAAGCGACATTTTGGGCTGAGAGTGGGCTTTATTTCCTCTAAAATCCTTAATATATTAGGTTTACCTGAGAGGAATGTGACATTATGTCATAAAAGGGTTCTGAAGCACTGTCCCACGTCGAACGACTTGTTATTTTAAAGGCATCCTAATGACACTGATATAGGAAAAATTAATCCCAGTCTTCTTAAAAAGGTTTAACAGCGTCTAAACACATACCAAATAGTTCATTTCAAAAACTACGTCTCCAAAGAATAGCTTGTCTCATATGGAGGAAAATAAATTCTGAAAACTGTACTATTTTGACGCTAATCCGTGATAGATCGTCGAAGCTTCTGCACGGATAAGATAAGGGCTTCTTAGCACAAAAGAAGTTCAATAAAATCAAAGATCCCTGTCAGAGTATGTAGGCATCAATATTTTCAGCGTTAGTGGTTTGTCATGTACCAAACATCACACTGGAATTTGAGTGCCATGACTGGTTTCGCCTCCCCCTTCTTACTTACTCTCCGCCTTAAAAAGGCTTCCGTTTTTTGGTTTCGAAAATCATAAGCAAGTTTAATTTCTTCATCGATTGTTCGTCATATTCCTTCTTTATCACTTCCAAAGGGCCGAGAAAATAACTTCTCACTAATTGACGTATAAGGACTTCAGACAATTGCGATCGGATGACAGGGACTTATTTTTTCTCTGAAATTATAATTTCTCCTATTGATTGCCCTAACTTGCAGAATGGGAGAGCATCTATTTGAGGTGACCAAGACTGACCTGGTCTTTCAGAATTATACACTGGTCAACTACGTTATACTACAGGGACCTCAAGCCTCTACACCAGATTTACGTCACCAGAGTCTTAAACCTCGTTGACGCTACATAATTACTGACCTTTCTGTAAAAGAACAGTACAAGAGGATCGAAATATCTTCCATAGTAAGCTTATGTTCTGTTGTTACTGTTAAGAGGAGAAGGACCTTTCCTAACCCATCAATCGAAAAAAGAATCAGGTCCGAATTTCATAAATTTCACTTGCCCGATAAGAACATTTATGATATCGAAATGAAACCCGAACTCCACTTATTCTTAGTTCGGAACTTGAGAGACAGAATTGTTATGTAATGGGGTCTGCGGATTAAAGAATCCTGAATGGATGAAACATATATTTTTTCGTCCCAAAACACTAGTAAGGCCACTGCGAGAGTGATCATCGGGAATTCATGGGCTTACAGGACCAAAATGGATGTTATCTGTGAGGTGAGCATTAACTGTCAAGGTATAACTAATGTACTCAGACTTCTGAAACGTTGCTTCCCCGATTGTAGTATTTTAACTTGCAGAGCACACTAACGTTCGTCAAATGCGTTGTCCACGTTTTGTTGGACTTAACTGCACTTCGCACACGCAAAGCCCTTGGTTTTTGGCAAAGTTCCTGAAAGACTTCTTATACTCAACCTCCAGTTCCAAAATTTGAGTAAAGCATAGTTACAGTGAGGAGATCATAAACGAGAAGTATTTTCGTTTGTTTCTTATAAATGCAATGAGAAGTCGTAAATGGGGTTTCTGAGCGTTTTCGAGGCACGGACATCTTGAAGGTTAAGTTTAGTCGAATTGTCAGCGATGCAACGCTGATAGGATAGATTAACTATCGCTGCCTATGGACCGTTTATAGTGCCGAACCATTATCAAATGGCTTTAAAAATGTCTGCGTTAGATGCTCTTGGTTTAAGGGGGGTTGCTCATCACGGACAGCTGGGCTTTGTCCTATTAAGGGCAGTCACACGGATTTGGCGCTCAATGCTCAGACCTGAATACAGGAGGTATAATAGACCAGAAATGTCGATTCCTTTTCTTCTACGTTTTACAGAAAAGATTTCGACTACTGAGTAGCCCTTTCTGGTGGGTGGAAGGTGGGGGGTTTAGACTCGAGCTTGAACAAAAAACCGAATTCGCATATTCCGTCTTGCGTTCAGGCTACTCTCACATGACCTTAAAGGCTACTAATTGTTTCTCGCAAAGTATTGATCTACCGCTCCGTGGTCTAATAATGGCTGTAAATCAACTATGTCCGCATTGAAATTCCAGGTGCTCGAGGAATGGGTTATCTTATCGTTAACTTTTGACGATGAATAAGTCGATTATCTTCATTTAGGTTCACTTGTCCCTGTGACACACTCCCAGATTATAGGAATAGCGTTCCTTTCTGCCTCATTAGTCGTTTGACCTATCAGAATAGTATACAGTTTAGCAGAGTGTCGAAAATCAAGTCTGACATTTACAACTGATTATAAATACTTACCTTTCAGGTGCGTGCGTAGACAAAGACCTTCCTGGAGACCTTTCACTACGAGGTCTGCAGATTGCCCTTAAACAAAGGACAGAAAAACAACTTAAAGCGCGAAAATTTTCTGGGAAATCAGACGCATTTGGTCGGGAAAACATTTGCTCTGATCCTCTGCCTTTTGTCTGTCATCGCATACCGCGTCTATTTAGACCTATTGAGAACAACTGGTTGACGACGGAAACACAATTCGATGTCCGCTGTGCAGTCCCTTGTCTTCCTTGTACAGCCCTCCTTGTCGCCATGCGTCCGCTTATCTGTTTAACAGGTAAACGCGGCAACATGCGTACATTTATGTGCAGACTGTGTATGCGATTCAAACTGTCCTTGGTCAACCGTCAAAGAGTTTTTTGAAATAGGGTACCTGGACTACGTCCCAGTGTGTGCATCGGAAGACGATCCACTGGTAAATAAAAAATATGTTCAGGGCTTTAAGCTCCATCATCCACATAATACTGCGTCACTTTAAATCATTCCTTGTCAGTGCCTACCTTTCGGATACTTTGTATTGGGCTGACATCTGACCTTTCCAAGTGTGTTCTTATTGAATGCCTCTGGAATAAGTTCAGCAAAGCTGTGCGTGCAATGTTCGAGAGATTCGCCCTATTTCCAGTCATTAGTGATTAAGCTGACGTTTTACAGCAGACGAACTTGAACTGGTTCCCAGGTTTATTAATCAGAACACTCTTACTGGTCTACTATGAACAGTATAGAAGGGCACACAGCTCTGCAATAACTCAGTCCGTACTAGACACCATGCGAGTTAGATATAGGGTAGTAGTAAGCGTTTTCACACTGGA